AGCGGCTCATTACAAGTACTGGAGCAGACGTCGGAGCTCCTCCCACCGCCTCCAGGACAGTGGAATTCAATGCGGAGGGATTCCACGGAAGTGAATTTCACAAGAAATTCGGTAGCAAGGTTCAGCACATAATCTGCAGGAATGACAGGGTCTGTTGGATCGGTCCACTGCTGGTCGGGAATCTGAAGTGGGATTTTGACGGAAACAGTCTTGGATTGGAAAACAAGACCTGAAAAACGCTTAGAGACCATTGAACAACAGAAAAGGAACTGGGCTTCTGGGATTTTATCAAAAATGTGGAACAGAATTAGCCCATCTGGTAAGCGATTGAAGGGACGTTCAGCATCCTCTTCACCTACTTGATTAACGCCAAAATCCTCCATTTTCAGTTCGCAGATTCTGCGTTGCTTTTTCTGATTGCTTGAAACTTTCAGTCGCTAAATTCCTAGTTCCAGGTGATATTTATGGACACGTAGGACAGCTAGGATAGAACAAAGGGGAGGGGGGAAGATGAATTTAATCACAGCTGTTGCTTTGGTAGCACCAAAGAACAGCAAATGTACAATTGCTTTTTACGGCAGCAAGAAAATGCTGCCGCCATTATCCTATCCAGCATACCAGCATTATCCATAAAATAGTTGTTTCATTCAATAAATCTGATTTAAGGAGATCATTTGTGAAAAAGGAAATTGTTTATCAGAATTCAGTAATTAGTTGCCTTAACGAACAATTGGATCCTGTGACATGCATATTAGTTTCAGTCCTACCTGTTTGAATATTTTCATTCCAAATACGGGTTGCGTATGCAATCCGAGTCAATTAAGTTGCACAAAATCATTATCAGAAAAATTAATAGTATACCGTAAGCAAAGATGCTCTATGCCTAGATAGTTAAAAATGGAATGTGGAAGTTATTCTCATATTGTTTTGGATATGGCTAAACATATATAACTCATCAAGCTTGTAATGTGACTGCTTCTTTTTTCTTTTTCTTTTTTTCCTTTTAGACTATATTCCTTATTCCATAAACCTTTTTATGCACTTGTATCAATGATCATTAATTTCTTTATCTTCTTATTAAAATTCTCCAACAGCATTCCTTATTTAAAAGCTTCTCTTCTTTTATAGAATCGATTAATTATCATATCTTTGTATTTTTTTCACTTGCTAATTCTTTTTTTTTTTTTGGAGAAATTTACTAGCCAAGTCTCTTATCTTTCGCCCCCAGTTTTTTGGAGATTTTTTTCCCTTTGAAAAGCAATAAAGAATGATTCTAGAGTTCTTCCCGAGTTCACAGATACTTGATAAGCAAGAGTAGCCTCATTTAGCCATTTTACGCACTTGTGTTAATGATCTTTTTATTTCTTTATCTTCTAATTTTTTTTTTTTGAGATACTCACTCGCCAATTCTCTTACTCGTATTTTCTCTTCTATTCTGAATTTTACCCTAAAATTTATCATGTTGCACGTTTTCACCTTTTTTTAACATTTCTGATGCAGCTTCACCAAAAAAATTTGCCTTCTCCTTTGAAAGCTTATTTTGCAATTCCTCTTTGAAAACCCGAAAAAAAAAGGAGAAGAAGCACTGAAAGTAGTGATGATTTTTTTTTTTTTAATTATCACTTAAAAGGAGGAGGTACGGACTTTCTAGTTGAGCATGGCAGTGGAATTTAATCACAATATCAGCTGAACATACAAAAATTGCTCAAGGACCAAATTAAGTAACCAAAGAAAAAGCAAATAGGCATATGGTACCACTCTACGAGGAAACCAATTACCAATCCAGAATCGAGGATATTTTTGCATCAAACACCCAAAGAAGCAAATTCCTTCTATGCATCTCCATGAAGAAAATTCTCTTTTTCTTTTCTAAAATCCGAGACTATAAACAGACTACATGGATGGATTAGAAAAGGACGAAGAAGCTGCACAATAAAATAGTAAATTAATGAACTAGAAGCTCTAAAATAATGACAATAAAACTCCGATTATATACCAGAATAGGCCGTACAATCAAAAGAAGAAATCACTAGCAAAGCATAATGAACATGCTATAACTGTAGAATCTGCAGCAAGACTCTCCCCAACCCCACAAAAACAATTTCACCGTGTTTTGGCTATCCAACATGGGAATCAAAGGCAGACCACCCACAAAAATCCTTTGTCAATGTTGTTCTTAGTCAACAACTCCTTTGCAGCTTCACCAAAAACCACCGATGTTCTTCACCTAAAACAGCTGCTTTTGCTGCCATGAAGTCATCATCCTCATCATCAACCCAATTTTCCTTGTAGCTGATCACAGCAACCCTTTTCATCTCCGTCCAGAGAATGGCAGCTTAAGGAGACGTTTTTCATGCCAGTACTTGGCTGCTCCGTTGCCACCCAAAAAATTTCTAACGTTAAACCTTTTTCAGCATCTGGACATCAACCACCTCATTTCCTCCATTATCTGTCATCCCACCTTGCTTCTTGGAGTTTGTCACCACAACATTTTCAAGGGATCCCAATAGAAGACGGACTAGCATTTTTATCAGTGAGAACATGTAATTACTACTTGAATGAGAAAAATTGTAGAAAGTAGAACAAAAACTGCACAACAGAAGAATTTTTTGTATTTCATTTTAAGTATACAATCTTGCTCTCACTGAGCCTAGGTCCTGACTCTACCACCGAGTAAAGGAAACGACAGCCAGCTTGGTAATCCTTGTGACAAGACTATCAAGAATATGGGCCGGTTTGAGTTATAATTACTTCACTTAAACAACTCCTTGAAAACCTGACCATTTAACTACTACAAATAGGTGGAAGACTCGACTTGGAAAGAAATAATTTCTTGTCTAGTGAAATTATTTACCAGTTACCGTATCAGCATGTATAAACACTAGCCAACTGGCTTGCTTCGAACTCATCACTTTATAATTAACCAAGAGAATAGTTTCCCCAAGTGTTGAAGGTAGCGCTGTCTAAGACGTTTTGTCAGAGTAAATGTTCGCTAATCCAAGAATGAAACTGGTTGAGGCGACGCCACCAAATTATGTATTTTTTTTTTGTTGCTGAATTTCTCTTGCTTTTCTGCTTTTGTTTGAAATTTATTCCCTCTTCAAATTTTGTTTTTGGCTTTAACTAAGCGGAATTTTCTTCTTGCTGCAAAGCAACATGGAAGGTACAAGCGGATCAGGCTGCAACTTTGGAGCCCGTTTGCTTTGAGCATGTGTCTTTAAAAGGTAGTTAAGAAACGTGTTATTTTTTAAATAATGCTACATTTCTTCAAATAAATCACAATTTTGTTTTATATTTGACTATATTATTTATTTATGTAAAAGTTTAATAAAAATGAAATTAAATGTTCTATTAATATCCATATATTCATTCTATATCTTTCTAAGGATAATAATTAGTATCTAAGACTACTCCATTAGGTATTTATATATATATATATTAAAATTACTATTTTATATTTATAAATATTAAATTAATACCCACCGAGTGACCCCATTGACATGGTCCCTCCACCGGATTTAATAGCTATGGTTTGGACAAAGCGTAGTTAGGTGATTCAGGTCTATCATATCTAAATTTCTACTTGTTTAGTCATTCAATTTTGTTTTAATATGTGGCTTTCAGTTGAAAAAATATTTAAGGATGGCCACTTTATGGGAGCATTTTTTGCTGCTGCCTTTGTTTTTACTCATTTGTTGCTTCATCTATGAATTTGTTTTGGTGCTAGCTTGGTGTTAAGATATTGTCTTGTGTAGACTTGCGAGTTGTAGGTTGCTGATGAAGTCGTAAATTACTCTTTGTTTTGGGAGGTTTATTGCCACTGACGTCCTTGAATTTGTTTTGGTGTTGACTTGGTACTAAGATATTGTCTTGTATAAGACTTGCAAATTGTAGGCTGTTGCAGTAATAAATTACTCTTGTTTTGGGCTCTTATTTTGATGCTAGCTATTTCGTTGTTAAATGTTAATGTAATCATCAGTGACTATTGATCAGACAGGCTCAATTTATAACTTCTACTTTGTCCAACTATTATTTTTTTTCCTAATTTCCATTTTTGCATAATAGGACGTGGAACTTTCTTATGATTAATTGCAAATGTTCCAACTTGTTTCAATTGAGAAATTGGGCTTGCATCAATCTATTTTACATGAAGAGTTATATTCTGCAATTTTGGAAGTGGACAAGAATCTTGAACTCGAGTCCTCGATCATATACTTGTAAAAAAATTGAGTATAATCGAGTCGATCTTGAATTTTCGAATAATTTTTCAAGTTCGAGTTCAAACTCCATTTCTGCTACTTATTAGAACTCGAACAATACTACTCTATTGTCGAGTTGAGTTCGAATATAACGATATTTGAGTTCAACTCGACTTAATTACATCCTAACTCCTAGGGACCAGGAACAGAAGATAAGAGTGGGCAAAAGTCCTAAACTTGACAATGATTCGAACTCGACTCGATTTAATTACATCTTGATTTCTAGGGACCAGAAACCGAAGACAAGGATGGGCAAACAGACTTGACAATGATTGAAGAGTAGGTGGCGCAATGTGCCTCGGCCACATGAAAGCCACAGGCAATGAAGCTATGGTGTCAATTGTAGCTGAAACTGAGAGTGGTGAGGGGAATGAGCAACGGCGGGCGGCGAGGAACAGTTGCTGCATCAAAATCTTGCCTTGACTATTTTGAGAAAAAAAAAAAAAAAAGACTATTTTGAGAGAATATATAGGCGATGTTAACCCATCAACGACCGACTATTGCCCATTAACAAGACAAAACACGACGTGGCTACTTAGATACCACAAGGCCTATGTGTGGGGACTGGGGACATGGACGGGTCCGTGCAAGTTCTGACTAGGGATGGCGGGCACCCGCCCCGCGGGGGTACAAATGGGGCGGGGTATGGGGCCGGGCGGGGCGGGGGCAAAATATTTACCCCGTCCCGTCCCTCGCACAAAAAAAAAAATATATATATATATATATATATATATAAATATTAAATACACAAAAGTACAAAACCCCTAAATCTAATTATCCCCCGTTCGGCCATTCCCATTTCCCCCTTAGTTCCTCCATTTCCTCCTTGGCAGAATCGCAGCCAGCCAGCCACCGCCGTCGCCTCCCATAGTCCCATTCCCCTCAATTCTAATCAGTAATCAGTCTCAATCACTCGAAATCTCTAAATTCATTTTTCCCCTCCTTTCAAACTTCAACTGGTACTAAATGAAATCCATGCTCTCTCTCTCTCTCTTTTATTTTTCCCCTCTCCTGCTAATTTGCTTGCATTTACGTTCTTAGATGACTGAAATTTTGGTTGCGTTGGAAATTTTATGGTCCACTTCAATCTCGTAGTTGAAAGAGGATGAAACTTTTTGTGTGTGCTTGTAATCTGTTTGTGAAAATGCGTGAATGAAATGGAGGTATCAGTTAAGGCTTTATTCAGATTAAAAATCTATATCTTGTTTCACATATATCGTAAAACATGAAAGATACGGTATTACTGTACCTCCATTTTCCTTTTTAGGAATTATGGCCTATGAATGTGTTAGCAGACGTTTTGGAGCATCTTGATAAGAGTAGTGTTTTCTGTATGCAGGGGTTTTCTTAAGCTGATTGATGGACTAAAGTCTTAAAACTTTTGGGCTATTAGAGAGTTTTCTATGATTGCTTTATTGGTAATCTCAGAGGTAAGTTCTTGATGTGTTTGCAAAATGAGAATCTGTATTGTCTACCCAAAACTGCAATGCTCTGTGCCTCTTCAGTTTGCTCGTCCTTTGTTGGTTCAGTTAATTCCCCTCATTATTTCATAGGTGATATTTTCTTTTTTTGATTTTTCACATCTTAGTTCTTCATTTACGGCTAAGCTGAAGATTATGAATTGTAGAAGGTTATCCATTTCTCGCGGGGGACCGCGAGAACCGCGGGGGAAACGGGGCGGGGGACCGGGGGAGTTATTTGACAACGGGGCGGGGATGGGGGAAGGATCCCCGCCCCACCCCGCCCCATTGCCATCCCTAGTTCTGACTATAAACAAAGACGGAAATTTCCCCGCAAGTGCCACTGAGCAGGAAATAAGGCTGTGGGTCAGGCAGTTTTGCGTACACCACAATTTAACATGGCTTCATCCTCGTCAGCTCTTCTGTACACCACGATTCTCACAATCTTGGATGCCCCACTTGGGACAGCCTCTGCCAATTGGAAACTGCCACCGGCTGTTTCAGTTTCACATCAATGTATGCGTTTGGTGACTTGCTTGCTGCCTTGCTAACATCTGCTTCCGAGGGGTGTCCTGTTGTGCTTCTAAATTTGCGTTTTTGGTTTTTCCCAGCACAAAATAGAATGCGCCCCTTCACCTCCAACAAAATATAACGTGATAATAAAAGCAGTGCACGGGAAAGGCAAATTATTATTATTATTATCCTTATTATTTTTTTTTTATACTAAAAAGGTTTAAGAGAAGAGGAGGTTGACTCCAAGCTAAGGTGAGCAATGTCGCAGGCACACGCAAGATAAATACATAACAGCACGGATTTACCACCAACAAGCCTCATCTTGTCATCTGATTCTGAGCCCCATAGTATACAAAATCATCTATGCATAAAATCATAGGAAGAACAGATGTCTACTGTCAACAAAGATTACTGAATCATATATCTGATGCGCAGGATTTAATGCCTCTTTTCAGGGTCATCGCTGATGAAAAGCAACCGCCAGAATCATGCTTTGTGAGCTCGTAAGATAAGTAGGTGAGATAGTGATATGTGGCAAAGTGAGCATTAAAGAGAAATATTTTACTTTGCCATATATGAAAAGCTACATAAATTTTGAAATAAACTAAACAGGAATAGCACAGAACAAATACAAGACCAAGGTTGCAAGTCTTGCCACCACAATTTACAATTTGAAATGGCTTCATCGTCTTCAGCTCTTCCGACAACCATCTCGTTTTCAGTCACCTTTCTCATATTATTGTCCTCACTGGAAACTGCCTCCGGCTGTTTCACGTCAATCTTTGCCTTCGGCGATTCACTGGCTGACACTGGAAATTATGCGACCATTTACCCGCCTATATTTCATTTGAGCAACGGAACACTCTACTGCGGCTTACCTCCTTATGGAGAGACCTATTTTCATCACCCAACAGGTCGATGCTCCGATGGTCGGCTAATAATCGATTTCATAGGTAGCTCTGCGCTTCACCCACTCATAAACTATCCATTGCTGGATATAACCAAGTTTGAAAATGTTCTTTTTTCAGGCCATATTTGTTGCCGTCCGGCACTGGGGTAGAAACGTCCCAGGGTTGTGGGACTTTTTTATTTTTTTTTTAAGGGTTGTGGGGCTTGGTACTAGAAGAACTAGCATAAGTAGGAGTGATCTTTTACTTATCCATGCGTCGTCTTTTGCAGCTGAATACTATGGACTTCCACCGGTTCCACCGTATCTTATGGGCGCGAATCATCGAAGCAACTCAAGGTTTGAAGCCGGTCTGAACTTTGCAGTTGCAGGAGCTACAGCACTTGACGTCCCATTTTATGGAGAAAAAGGAATTTCTTCTACTTTGGCTAATATCTCTATGAGTACCCAACTCAGGTGGTTCAAAGGGCTACTGCCATCTCTTTGCTATTCCTCAAGTAAGTATTTCTTGTCCAGACGGAAAATGGTTTCAAAGCCTAGCTACTCGTGTTGGACGAGAATTCTTATCTTTTTTTTATTATCCTCAAAGAACAGAAAAAAAAAAAAGGCTTAAAGATGTTTAGGGATTGAGAACGACGCATATTTTAAGTTGATATGGCATGATTTTCCAATGTTTACCATCTAAATATGCAATTCGTTTGAAAAAGCCAGAGCTTGAGATCAGGTGTTTCTTTATTTTGTTATTATTTTTTTTTTTAAAAAAAAATATTTAGGACTACTATGCCAAATCAATAAGCTCATGGGTTGAAGAGTCAAAAAATAAATAAATAAATAAAGGAAACATGTGCAACATGTGTCGGATATTTTCTGCTCAAATTTATGTCTGCATATGGCATGTAATACGGTCGGTGTCCACCATTAATACCTATGCTTTCCTATAGTGGGTTGTATGACATGACACATTAGACATCAACAGCCACATACTGTATTTTTTTCTATTCCAAGATATGCATTAATCTTTACTAAAAAAGAAAAAAAAAAGAGAGAGATATGCATTAATCCAAAGAATCAGTTTAGAGGGAAATATGACCCCGCAAGTTGAACTAGGTTCAACGTGCTAGGGGAGATTGACCAATTTCGTGTTATAAACATGACTAGTATGTTCCTTTAATTCCCCTGAATTTCGGGTCGGGTATTCTCCACAAAAAATTTCCTTGACCCAATGATCGAGACAGAGATCTCTTAGAATTCTTTTAATTGTTAGGTTCACAGTTCAAATTTTAGATTTGATGATTGAAAGTCCAAAAAGTATATATAGGGAGAGGTGAGAGGTTAAAAAAAAAACTAAATAAAAGGGATCAAATTGCTAATTTTCCCTTCCAAATAGCACAAAAAACCTAGAGATTTTTTTCTAAATAACTTGACATTGACACTTCCTTTAGGGAAAAAAAAGAAAAAAGAAAAGGCACACGGCTGATATAACATCTCTCACTGAAAAATCATGAGTTGTTCTTTTGTTTTTCTTTTCCCGGACGTGCTTATAAGCCAAAATACTCAAAACTGCTGTAGTAGTCCATGATGTTTATAAAGAAACCTCATTTTACCCTCCCTTTTCATCCCAAATTTTGGGCAAAACTTCCCCCACGGAGTCAAATAAATGATATTTTGGTCCCCAAACATTTTAAAATTCCATTCTCCATCTTGCACCCCCAAGTTATGCCGAAAATAAGAAGGGAAGAGAGAAGAGTCTATAGTAAGGGCAGCCCATGTACAAAATACGAGTTTAAACCTAACTTCCAAATTAAAAGTGTATTTGGAAGAAGACCTCATGGTCTTCAATTTCTTATAAACACAAACTCTGCTGGCAACGTGACCCCGGTGATTCTGTCCAATAACCAATGATGAAGTCGTGGTTAAAAAGAAAACAAAATTGGAGAGTATATATAAACTTACAAATGCATAAATCATAGTCTCACTAATATATTTAGCGATAGATTTAAGACCCCATTAGTAGAGACGTATATGTCATACATTGAATAAATTTGTTTTGTTTGCTCAAATTTATTATGAACATCATAATTCATATTCGCCATACTTTTGGTGACAGCTGCTTTTAATTTGAAATGGTCGAACACATCTTAAGCTAGCGACGAGAGTAGTTTCCAAAATTTAGGGGTGGAGTAGATAGAGGTTGGCAAAAATGGTACGAATATAAAAACTTTCAAAAATTTCTAAGTCAAACAAATAATTATCGAACTTCTATGGGGACAATTGCCACCCTCAAGCTTAATTGGTATGTGTATCTTGGATTGTTCGTTTCCAATATGTATATATATATATATGCATCTTCACAAATACAATAGATATAAACACTAATAAAATAACTGTAGATATTAATGTATTAACTGTAGATATAAATTATGGCGTATTGATTTAAAGCTATGTCCCACCAGCATTCCTATCGATCCAAATTAAAAATCAAGACATCAGAATCATGAGTTGCACCATGAAGATTGCATAAAATCCCAATCTAACTCAAAACAGGGTATTGAAGTATTTTAGTGGAAATGCATAGTAGTGTGTATCAAAATTTTTTTGAGCTGACTCAGTTGGTGTGCTGTCCAAAGGTTTATTTGAGAGGTTCTCGAGTTACTGATCATTAATGGCTTTGAAAATTAACGTTAATAGCTCATGGGGGATTCATTCGCAGGCTGTAGCGAAGTTTTCAAAAGCTCACTCTTTCTTATGGGATTCGGTGGCAACGATTATGGCAAAGCATTTCTGCAAGGAAAAAGCTTGGAGGAGACAAAATCCTTGGTTCCTTTGGTTATTAGTGCCACTAGGTCTGCCATTAACGTAAGAATTTTTCCCTATTTGTTTTTATTGCTCAAAGTTCTACTTTTCTTTTTTCTTTCTTAAGGGAACAACTAAAAGAAAAAAAAAAAAAAAACTATTTAGTCAGGTTTGTCACCTTCAACTCCTCACGGGGCTTTGCAGCATTCTGACTTGCACATTTCATTTTCTAATGACATTTCAGCGCTAGAATCTTTCCAGTGTTGTTTGCTGGGGAAAAAAAAAACTTTTAGGCATTCTTTTCTGGTCTTATGCTACATTGCATCGTTGCCACTCTTTAACTCGGGATTCTTTCTTTCACGAACGTTACATGGTTAAAGGGCTAATATGTGCATGATATTGATTTATATTCCTGACGTAGGATTTTATTAATTTATTTTTTTTTTGGGGAGCTCCTGATGTAGGAATTGATAGACCTGGGAGTGGTAAACATAATGGTGAATGGTCTATTGCCTGATGGATGCTCGCCAGCGATGTTAACATATTTCAAGAGTTCAAACAAAGAAGATTATGATACAGCAACAGGCTGCCTGAGTTGGTTGAACGATTTTTCCAATTATCACAATGAACTACTTCAAGAAGAGCTGAATGGAGTTCGAGCAAATCACCCAGATGCACTTATATTGTATGCCGATTATTTCAATCCTCTAATGCAGCTTTTTCGTTCTCCTGAACAAAACGGTAATTCTCCTTTCCAAGTGCATTCACATTAATAGAGAGCATTAAGGTAGACCATTAGCGTGAAAATGTGTCAAAACTTCCTCTCTCAAAATTAAGTTTTGAATAGCGTGGGACCAAAATTGAGCTTCTATTAATTGGTTGCTATTAATGCATGAAAAGTTTTTGGAATAATTTTTTATACACGGTCAGTGTAGAAGGTCTTTCGCACGAGGATGCATCCATACTTATTAATGTTGGAAATATATATAGAAGGATTAATCCAGAGTGTTTTGGGTCATTTACACTGAAAATATCTTTAAAGACATTCAGTTTAAACCCTAAGTACCTTCTCAACTCCATTATTGCTGGTTTAATGCAACTGATGTTGCAAATTGCTTGTTAAACAAAGGCGGATCAATTTGGTCAAAATTGGGACCACGGGCTCTTTTGGCACCCAAATTGATACCTCAAGGAAATGTATCTCAATGATTTTGGAAACAACATTTTCACCGTCCAAAGGAGAAACCAATTAAAGAAATCACCAGCCAAAATGAAATTCCTCGATACTCTGTTTGATCTCTTTCAGATGTAGATATATAGCACTGTTTCAATTCCAAACTAGAGAATCCAATTAAAGTACGAAACAAGGACATCTAGGCATGTGATTTTTCCTTGTATTATTCGTATAATTGTCATCTTCATCATCATTCTGATTACGGTAAGTTGATATCGTGATAGTTGTATGTAGGAGACTCAAATCACTGACCGCCCCTTTTTCAGGTTTCGGAGGAAGATCGCTTATGGCCTGTTGCGGAGATGGAGGTCCCCCTTACAATTATAATTTTACAGCGCAATGTGGAGAACCAGCGTCTACTGCTTGTGCTCGGCCTTCTCTATATATCAGTTGGGATGGCATTCACCTTACAGAAGCCGCATATAGATTTATGGCCAAAGGTTTACTTGAGGGGCCTTGTACTACTCCTACAATCAATACTTTGTGCACGTCCATGAAGAAGGATTTCGGATTTGCGTCAGCTATGACTAGCCAATTATGAGCTACTACTACATTTGATTTCATCTTTTACCTTCTACAATTTGGAATTACAGATTGCTTCAAAGATTTTGCGGAATTAATCTGCTTTGTGATGTATGGGATTCAACTCGTGTAGCTAATTGAAACTTAAGTTCCTAAACTTGATCGACGCAGAGAATATAGTTCAATTTCGTCGGAGTTATGCAGATTAACGAACAAGAAGTTGAGCATTCCTTCTGTATTGTATTTAATGTTAACCAGCTCTATCCCTATTTGTACCAAACACCCAAAAAAAAAAAAAAGCACTGTCCCTATAAAAATTTAAAATAAAACCTTGGATGTATGAAAATGTGATTTCATACAATAGATAGGTCTATACTTCTATGGATACATCTTTAGATGTATGAAACTTAGATGTGTTGAGTGATACGGAAACACACTTCCCTTGAGGTTTTTAACAATTATAGAGAACTTCCCTTAGATTTTAAAAATTACATATACCTCCCCTACTTTTAATGTTTAGTAACAATGTAGGTTCAATAAGATAGATTTTCTTACAAAAATCCTAAATTGCTCTTTTGTACAAAACTAAGAAAAAAAATATAGTATACTCAATCATTTTTTTTCATACTTTACATAAATCAACAAGTCTAATCCCTAACAATCATCCAAACATAAGTTTTAAAACCAAATAACCAATTAAAAATTTCCAAATTGCATATACAGTATCAATGCTTGTCATGCCAAAAAAGAAAAAAGAAAAAAATACACACACAAACCCCATTGACAACCAGTTGTACCCCAAAATTAAATGTCAATGCTCAAATACCTTTTCAATACAAGCTAGCCTGACCTAGAACTGCCATTATAACCCTCCTATGGCATTAAAAATATTAATACCTCAAAAGTAGAGAATAAATTCTCTTTCCATAATAAAATCATAATAAAAAATTTCTAATCCAATGAAAGAAATTCTTATGTAATTATTGACATTTTATAAAAGATTTTCTTGAGAACAAACAAAATATGACAAATTCTACATCTTTAGTTCTTCTAATTTCATCAATTTCATTATTTATTTTTGTATCATTGTGAGTCTCTTTATTTCCTTCTAATTTGACACATAATCTACTCTTTCTCTTTATTTCCTTCTAATTTGACACATAATCTACTCTTTCTATTGATTTTGTAATTTCAATTTGCTAATATCCACAAAATTGAAAATAATAAAAAGATGTTATATTAATTAGAAAAGAGAGGAGTGAAAATAAATAAGAGACAAAAAATTGGATTTTTTTGGATTTTGTAAATTTATTGCCGTAAATTTAAAATTGTCTACCAAGTGGAGGGCATTATAGGTATTTTACTATGTCAAGGGAGATAAGTGTAATTTTTTAAATCTAAGGGGAGTCGAGTGAAATTGTCAGAAACCTCAAGGGAGGTTTTTGAAATTATCCCTTCTAAATAATAAAATTACTATTGACTCAATTAGAATTATTAATGGGGGGAAGGGATGAGTTGAGTGATACGAGAAAAGGGAATGTAAGTCAAAATTCTCGAATTCGAAATCTCCGACTTACACTTTTTTTAAAAAGTAAAAAAAAAATGGAATTTTTAAAACCTTAACTTGATTGAAAAACTGCTAAACAATAATATTCAAATTTCTATTTTTGAGTCTTGATTTAATATGCCAACAATATAATGTTTTTTTACGTAAAACAATTAATACAGGAAATCGAACCGGAAACACTAAAGACTTTGCTCTCAATTTATTTAGGAGATGAAATCAATGAAATGCAGCAGATGGTTGGCCTCGCAGATTATGTCAAAATTTTATGATATGATAGGTAAGCATTCAAGGAGGTCTTCAACTTCCATCAGCTTCTTTTGCTCCCGATGATGATTGAGATCGAGTTTTCTGGTCATTCTGCTCCCATTACAATTGTTTGATTTGTATCAAACATTCTTCGTTTTTTCCAGCGAATAGTTTCCTGCATTTGTTGGAGGAGCTATAATGGGTAGCTAAATTGCCAAGGATAATCTTACTTGCGAAATCCGTTGAATCCTCTTGTTGCCCAATAGCCGTTTAGTGGGTTTGTAATTGGGCTACCTTGGTATGTATGTTTTGTGTTTTAGCCTGTCCCATGCATTGGTCAATCAATTGGGATCTACCACAAACTTGGCCTAGATAGCCCACCGTAAGGAGGGAAAAGCCTCGACCAAAATGACTGGGCTGATTTTGGGTTCTGAAATCAAAACCCGCAATCAAAATGTACCTAGTTTTTCTTTTTAAATTTTTACTAGGAAGTGTGTAGGTCTGCTGAGAAATTTATATCTTTCCCAAAAAAAAAAAAAAGATTCAATTATGAATTTAAAAAATTTTGAAAAACTAATGTTATTGAGGTTCACATAACTACCTCACATAGATTGTTTAAAACTATATAGACCCCTATACATCAATATTCATATATCTTTCCAAGCCAACGTTGGCATGTTTATAAGAAATTTTACATTACCCCAATCCAACATATCGTATCACGACGATTGGTTCGAATTTCGTTTTCTATATCCCTAGAATTACAACATTCTTGGCTTATACAGGTACTACATGTAAAAGTGTCAGACAAGACAAGCCCTTATTCTAAAAGATGTGTAACATAGTGTAACATGAAGACGTGTAGCAAAAGACCCCCAAGCCCTTATTCTAAGCTCAAACTTTTGGGCGTTTAGTCATTGGAACAACCTATAAATTATGAACTTGAGAGGAGTGAAAACCAATTTGATGATTTTTTTTTTTTGGATATAAAAAAAAGGTGGCTGATTGTGACATCAATAAATTCCTGATATGGAGTATATTAACGATGAATTTGAAGGAAATTATATGAGTTGCCCTTTTTCATCAAAAATTTTTTACGTTTTTCGTGAACATATTTTCCAATAATCTTTTTACCTCACTTATATCAAATTGCTATAATACATTTTCTACAAAACCTCGAAAAAATTGCAATCCAAACAAGAGAAGAAAAACACTTGGAGATCAATGAAATCAAGTAAAGTGACTTGGCCTATGAGATTTTGTCAAAAATATGGGACGAATCATTGTTTTTTTCGTTTCCTTCTGTTAATCCTATGTAAGGGTGTCAACGGGTCGAGTTTGGATCCAGACCCGACCCGTATTCGATCAATTTTTCTGGGTTTGGATTAAAATATAATTTCGATACCTGGATCCGAACTCGGACCTATACCCGTTTATTCTAACAAAAAAGGGTAGGATACGGAATATAGGATTTCGACCCGTATTCGAACAATATATTAATAATTTTAAAATATAAATATTTCTAAATACATTCTTTTACCAAATTAACAATTTAGTAATGACTTTGTAGATTGATTTGTGGTTAGTTTTAGATTGACTATTGCGAGTTATTTGTGATTTATTAGCTTTGTAATTTGATTTGTTTAAATTTGGAGATTGAATTTGTGATTAATTTTAGAATGTTTAAGTTTGGACATTTTCTTTCCGAATAGACTTGAATCTGACTCGGGACGCGTCGGATCCAATTTCGGAACTCTAAAATCAAGACCCGTAAGTTATACGAGTTGGGTCCGAGTCTACTAAATAAAAAGGGTCTAGGTCCGCAATTTTCAATTCTAATCCGAATCCAACCCGTTGACACCCCTAATTCTGTGGCAGCTGGAATATTTTTCTTTTTCTTCTCCTAGTTCTGTTCGACTAAGTAAATCATTTATTTTTCTTCCTTTCCAAGTCTTGCAGGGAAGAATTGACCTGCTGTTGTTATCGTCATCAGTGAACTTTAATAGGAAAATTTGTCCCTTCTTGTTACCCAAGTAAATTCCTCTCTTTATATATTTTTCTTCGTTTGGTATTATACGTTCAAAACATAAGAACACCCTGTGATTGACGAGTAAAACTGTGACTAACCTTCCATGGCTTCAACTTTGTAACCTGTTACATTTGAAAAGGGCAACATATAAAGACGTGTGAAAATTTTGCTCTTTCTGTTATCGAAAACAATAATGTCTACAGCATCCTCCAATCGCCTCCAGTTTCTTAAGTTCTACTACCATGTTTTGAAGTCCATTTATGGGGAAAATATCCTGGACTCGTTTGCATGATAACTTTGTAAAAATCTACCATTAAAGGGCATAGTTTGTTCCTTTGCCGCTCCGTAAATTTGCCAAAATATGTGATAGAACCAAATTGTTGCAACATGCACTTGTGCTGCAAAATGAACTTCGAAAGTACGTTCAGAACAGAAGCGATAGGCTCCCCCTAATTAGTAGTTACAACCATATATGTTTCTTGTTTTTGCAATGATGTAGGCAATTTGCAATATTTCAGTTGTGCGGCAAAAAGTATCGCTTTTGGGTGTTTGCTTCTCAAGTTCTATAATGGTTATGTCAGCTAAAATGACATGTTCATTAATGAGGTTTTACTTCTTCTGATTCGCTTCAAATTGAGCACCAAGGTGATTGCTATTTTGCATCACCTCCAAAATCCTGTGTATCTCCCTCAATCTCTCAAATTATCCTCAATTTTTTTTTTTTCCATTTCAGGTTGTCATGAAAATGAAAATTACAAGTTTGATAATTTCTTGCCCCACCAATGACCATATATTTTGTTAGCACTTATTTGTCCTGGAATTCTGAATTTCCATAAATGTATATACAGTGTATATACATATAAATTTGGATACACCGTGTAATCTTCTATATTCTAACAAAAAGCGATAAATCAGCAATGCAGCATCGCTTGTAGCGTACTCAAGAAACACCTCACTACTTACATTTTTAGACAGAAAAAAACAGCTCACATATTTAACATGGCTTCATCCTCGTCAGCTCTTCTGCACACCACGATTCTCACAATCTTGGATGCCCCACTTGGGACAGCCTCTGCCAATTGGAAACTGCCACCGGCTGGTTCAGTTTCACATCAATATATGCGTTTGGTGACTTGCTTACTGCCTTGCTAACATCTGCTTCCGAGGGGTGTCCTGTTTTGCTTCTAAATTTGCGTTTTTGGTTTTTCCCAGCACAAAATAGAATGCGCCCCTTCACCTCCAACAAAATATAACAGCACGGATTTACCACCAACAAGCCTCATCTTGTCATCTGATTCTGAGCCCCGTAGTATACAAAATCATCTATGCATAAAATCATAGGAAGAACAGATGTCTACTGTCAACAAAGATTACTGAATCATATGTCTCATGCGCAGGATTTAATGCCTCTTTTCAGGGTCATCGCTGATGAAAAGCAACCGCCAGAATCATGCTTTGTGAGCCCGTAAGATAAGTAGGTGAGATAGTGATATGTGGCAAAGTGAGCATTAAAGAGAAATATTTTACTTTGCCATATATGAAAAGCTACATAAATTTTGAAATAAACTAAACAGGAATAGTACAGAACAAATACAAGACAAGGTTGCAAGTCTTGCCACCACAATTTACAATTTGAAATGGCTTCATCGTCTTCAGCTCTTCCGACAACCATCTCGTTTTCAGTCACCTTTCTCATATTATTGTCCTCACTGGAAACTGCCTCCGGCTGTTTCACGTCAATCTTTGCCTTCGGCGATTCACTGGCTGACACTGGAAATTATGCGACCATTTACCCGCCTATATTTCATTTGAGCAACGGAACACTCTACTGCGGCTTACCTCCTTATGGAGAGACCTATTTTCATCACCCAACAGGTCGATGCTCCGATGGTCGGCTAATAATCGATTTCATAGGTAGCTCTGCGCTTCACCCACTCATAAACTATCCATTGCTGGATATAACCAAGTTTGAAAATGTTCTTTTTTCAGGCCATATTTGTTGCCGTCCGGCACTGGGGTAGAAACGTCCCAGGGTTGTGGGACTTTTTTATTTTTTTTTAAGGGTTGTGGGCTTGGTACTAGAAGAACTAGCATAAGTAGGAGTGATCTTTTACTTATCCATGCGTCGTCTTTTGCAGCTGAATACTATGGACTTCCACCGGTTCCACCGTATCTTATGGGCGCGAAACATCGAAGCAACTCAAGGTTTGAAGCCGGTCTGAACTTTGCAGTTGCAGGAGCTACAGCACTTGACGTCCCATTTTATGGAGAAAAAGGAATTTCTTCTACTTTGGCTAATATCTCTATGAGTACTCAACTCAGGTGGTTCAAAGGGCTACTGCCATCTCTTTGCTATTCCTCAAGTAAGTATTTCTTGTCCAGACGGAAAAATGGTTTCGAAGCCTAGCTACTCGTGTTGGACGAGAATTCTTATCTTTTTTTTATTATCCTCAAAGAACAGAAAAAAAAAAAAAAAGGCTTAAAGATTTTTAGGGATTGAGAACGACGCATATTTTAAGTTGATATGGCATGATTTTCCACTATTTACCGTCTAAATATGCAATTCGTTTGAAAAAGCACTCCTGTCAATCCAAATTAAAATTCAAGACATCAGAATCATGAGCTGCACCATGAAAATTGCATAAAATCCCAATCTAACTCAAAACAGGGTATTGAAGTATTTTAGTGGAAATGCATAGTAGTGTGTATCAAAATTTTTTTGAGCTGACTCAGATGGTGTGCTGTCCAAAGGTTTATTTGAGAGGTTCTCGAGTTACTGATTATTAATGGCTTTGAAAATTAACGTTAATAGCTCATGGGGGATTCATTCGCAGGCTGTAGCGAAGTTTTCAAAAGCTCACTCTTTCTTATGGGATTCGGTGGCAACGATTATGGCAAAGCATTTCTGCAAGGAAAAAGCTTGGAGGAGACAAAATCCTTGGTTCCTTTGGTTATTAGTGCCACTAGGTCTGCCATTAACGTAAGAATTTTTCCCTATTTGTTTTTATTGCTCAAAGTTCTACTTTTCTTTTATCTTTCTTAAGGGAACAACTAAAAGAAAAAAAAAAAAAAAAAGTATTTAGTCAGGTTTGTCACCTTCAACTCCTCACGGGGCTTTGCAGCATTCTGACTTGCACATTTCTTTTTCTAATGACATTTCAGCGCTAGAATCTTTCCAGTGTTGTTTGCTGGGGAAAAAAAAAACTTTTAGGCATTCTTTTCTGGTCTTATGCTACATTGCAACGCTGCCACTCTTTAACTCGGGATTCTTTCTTTCACGAACGTTACATGGTTAAAGGGCTAATATGTGCATGATATTGATTTATATTCCTGACGTAGGATTTTATTAATTTATTTTTTTTTGGGGAGCTCCTGATGTAGGAATTGATAGACCTGGGAGTGGTAAACATAATGGTGAATGGTCTATTGCCTGATGGATGCTCGCCAGCGATGTTAACATATTTCAAGAGTTCAAACAAAGAAGATTATGATACAGCAACAGGCTGCCTGAGTTGGTTGAACGATTTTTCCAATTATCACAATGAACTACTTCAAGAAGAGCTGAATCGAGTTCGAGCAAATCACCCAGATGCATTTATATTGTATGCCGATTATTTCAATCCTCTGATGCATCTTTTTCGTTCTCCGGAACAAAACGGTAATTCTCCTTTTTAAGTGCATTCGCATTAATAGACAGCGTTAAGGTAGACCAATAATTACTTGAGCTTTTCTGATAAAATTGTGTCAAAACTTCTTTCATTTGCCCCAAAGGTTCCTTATATCATATCTATCTACTTGGTGTTAACGTGGCAAAGTTTAGTTGACACTAGTGTAGAAGGTCTTTCACACAAGGATGCACCCATACTTATTAATGTTGGAAATTTCTACACTAATAATATGTATATATATATATATAGAAGGATTAATCCAGAGTGTTTTGGGTCGTTTACATTGAAAATGTCTTTAAAGACATTCAGTTTAAACCCTAAGTACCTTCTCAACTCCACTATTCCTGGTTTAATGCAACTGATTTTGCAAATTGCTTGTTAAACAAAGGTGGATCAATTTGGTCAAAATCGGGACCACGGGCTCTTTTGGCACCCAAATTGATACCTCAAGGAAATGTATCTCAATGGTTTTGGAAACAACATTTTCACCGTCCAAAGGAGAAACCAATTAAAGAAATCACCAACCAAAATGAAATTCCTTGATACTCTGTTTGATCTCTTTCAGATGTAGATATATAGCACTGTTTCAATTCCAAACTAGAGAATCCAATTAAAGTACGAAACAACGACATCTAGGCATGTGATTTTTCCTTGTATTATTCGTATAATTGTCATCTTCATCATCATTCTGATTACGGTAAGTTGATATCGTGATAGTTGTATGTAGGAGACTCAAATCACTGACCGCCCCTTTTTCAGGTTTCGGAGGAAGATCGCTTATGGCCTGTTGCGGAGATGGAGGTCCCCCTTACAATTATAATTTTACAGCGCAATGTGGAGAACCAGCGTCTACTGCTTGTGCTCGGCCTTCTCTATATATCAGTTGGGATGGCATTCACCTTACACAAGCCGCATATAGATTTATGGCCAAAGGTTTACTTGAGGGGCCTTTTACTACTCCTACAATCAATACTTTGTGCACGTCCATGAAGAAGGATTTCGGATTTGCGTCAGCTATGACTAGCCAATTATGAGCTACTACTGCATTTGATTTCATCTTTTACCTTCTACAATTTGGAATTACAGATTGCTTCAAAGATTTTGCGGAATTAATCTGCTTTGTGATGTATGGGATTCAACTCTTGTAGCTAAGTGAAACTTAAGTTCCTAAACTTGATCGACGCAGAGAATATAGTTCAATTTCGTCGGAGTTATGCAGATTAACGAACAAGAAGTCGAGCATTCCTTCTGTATTGTATTTAATGTTAACCAGCTCTATCCCTATTTGTACCAAACACCCAAAAAAAAAAAAAAACCACTGTCCCTTAAAAAATTTAAAATAAAAACTTGGATGTATGAAAATTTGATTTCTTACATCTATAGATGGGTCTATACTTCTATAGATACATCTATAGATGTATGAAACTTAGATGGGTTGAGTGATACGGAAACACTAATTTCTAAATAGGGATAATTTCACAAACCTCCCTTGAGGTTTTTAACAATTATAGAGAACTTCCCTTAGATTTTAAAAATTACATATACGTCCCCTGCTTTTAATGTTTAGTAACAATGTAGGTTCAATAAGATAGATTTTCTTACAAAAATCCTAAATTGCTCTTTTGTACAAAACTAAGAAAAAAAATATAGTATACTCAATCATTTTTTTTCATACTTTACATAAATCAACAAGTCTAATCCCTAACAATCATTCAAACATAAGTTTTAAAACCAAATAACCAATTAAAAATTTCCAAATTGCATATACAGTATCAATGCTTGTCACGCCAAAAAAGAAAAAAGAAAAAAATACACACACAAACCCCATTGACAACCAGTTGTACCCCAAAATTAAATGTCAATGCTCAAATACCTTTTCAATACAAGCTAGCCTGACCTAGAACTACCATTATAACCCTCCTATGGCATTAAAATATTAGGGCAAATTATCTAATTGGCCCTTTAACTCTTTTTCTAGATAAAATTAAGCCCCTCATCTATTTTTTGATGACTTTAAGCCCTTGAACTTGTAAAAGTGGGAAACCGTGGCCCTTTTAGCCAGTTTCTCCGGTTTTGCAACCGGAGGACCAATTCACACGAATGCAAGTGTGCTTCTTCAAAGGGCATTTTTGTCCGCATATTCTAAACAAAAAGTGCACAACTCCTCCCTCCTTTCCATTTTTCGAACCCAACCCAACCCAACTGCTAGTCGAAACTTCACAGCAACAATGGAGTGGCAAGAGAAAATCTTTCCTACATTTTCCTTACCCATTTTCATCTTCCCTTAAGGATCTTTGCGAAGGGAGAAGAGCAAGAGAGAATCAGCACTGTCAGGTTTGGGTATCATGGAGATTGAAGCAACAAGGAGTGGCAAATCAGGTCGGAAAATCATCGACATTGAAGCAAGAGAGAAGTCTGAAAGGAAAAAAAAAGGGGGGAGAAGGTAAAAGTTTTGTGAAGGGAAGGAAAAAATGCGCAAATATCGCGGCCCTCTGCTTCCTACTTGTCGTTGTGGTAAAGTCACGAAGATGATTACTTCTTGGACTGATAGAAATCCAGGAAGAAGGTACGCCGTTTGCTCAGAAGAAGTTGGTGGCTGCGGGTATTGGAATTGGATTGACGACGAGATGTGCCGTCGTTCTATTGAGCTGATACCAGGCCTTCTAAGGAGGATCAATGCAACAGAAAAGCAAAAAGACGAATTTGAAACTGCAGCCGCGAGATCCGAGGCAAAAGCTGCCAAGTTGAAGACAAAATTGAGAGAAACAGAGAAGCAGCTGCGGTGGCAAAAATGGTTGAATAAGTTCCTTGTAAGGGTTTTTGTGGTAAGTTAGTTGGTTGCTGTAATAATGGTGCTTACAGAGAAAAAAATTGCAGGTGGAGTCTCTCTTGGGATGCTCCAAATTGGGAATAAATGTAATGGGATTATGCAAATTGAAGACGATACATGAAGGGCAGTGTGTAAGTGTAACATATTGCCATCGGTACTGCCAGTTTTGAGGACCATGGATGGAGCAAATGGATCTATGGTGTATGATGCAGATGGTTAGGGAGAAGTATATTGTATTGTTTAGATTAAACAAGTCTTTGTTGTACCCATAGATTAATGTAAAAGCGTGGTTGAACCCAATCAATGCTAACTGTAATTTTCGGCAAGTAATGTGATGAGAATTATTTATCCCAATTCGCATGTCATGGGCTTTGTTAGATGTATTTGATTTATCTAGTCAACAAAAACTGCTATACCAAACCATACAAATATAAGATAGCAACTGTATAACATTAGAATATAATTAGCAAAAGGAAATTACAATGATGTTTGCCTGTAAATACAGTCAACAATCACTTTCATAGGAAACAGACAAATACACAAAAAGCAGTGACCTGTGTCCATATTGCTAGATACCAAGCACAGGCACATGCTTTGATTCCCCACAAAAGCCTATTCAAAAAAATATCATTTATAGTTTCAACATTCTAGTTACATTCATTTACAGTCAACAAAATCACACAAAAATATTTGCAGGTCCAGCAATACTTCAAGAAATTGTTCCAGATGGACCCTTTCCTCTTCCCCTTCCCCTGCCTCTTCCTCTTCCTCTTCCTCCACCTCTTCCCTGCCAGTTTCCAACATTGAAAGGTGGATCTTTACCCAAATAAGCATAGTTGAGATTAATAAAACCTTTGTCTGCTTCTGTCAGTGGCCTTTTTGATGTACTTCTCTTGTGCCTATGAACTGGTGGTCTTGAGGTGGATTGCTGGGACTGAGGTTGATGTGCTGAGAAGGCTGGGACTGAGGTTGATGTGTTGGCTGCTGTTGAGAAGGCTGGGACTGAGGTTTATGTGTTGGTGGCTGTGTTGGTGGCTGCTGAGAAGGTTGGGACTGAGATTGATGTGTTGGCTGCTGCTGAGTTTTTTGCTGATTTCTTTGTCCCTGATTCTTGCTTACCTACATATTAAAGAAAGCATTTCAGATCACAAAAAAAGGTCACAAACAGGCTGAAAGTTATAATGAAGTGCAAACGCACACGTTGTCTTTTTGTTGGTGCTTCGTGCTGTTGCTGATTACATGGTTGTCCAGTAGGTGGTGGTTGTTGAGAAGGTTGCTGTTCAGTAGATGACTTAGGAGGATTCTTGCAAGTTTTAGTATTATGTCCAATCCCTCCACACTTTCTACAGTGGATTACAACTCTCTTTCGCAACCTTTTGCCATGATCTTTTCCTTCTGTAACTGTAGACACCAAATTTTTAAATAATTTGTATGTTGCATCTAATTCATGATTTGGTTTTAGATTGTCTGCATTTTAGTTGTTACCTTTTTATTTGTCTTTTATTTGCTAATTATTTGTCATATTAATTTTGTTCACGTTTTAGTTTTAGTTTTAGTTTTAAGTTTTAACGTAAAATTTGTGGAAAAGAGGAAATTGATGAAAAATGGAAAATTGTGTTTTGTTGATTCTAGTTTATTTAGTTTCTACCCAATGTTAATTAAATTACTTTTTTTGTTGTTTTTGTTGTTTGTTATCTATTTTTATTATCAGTTTTATTCAATTAATTTCAAAAAGAAAAAAAAAGAGAAAAAAACCGAAAAAAATCACAATTCTATTTCTGCCGGTTCCATTTCCATTTCTCAATCTAGCACCTTCCATTGTTATTGCCGACTCCACTCCACTCACAATACCTTAATATATACATCCCACTACGCTACATCATTTCCTTCTGGACTTCAATACTCAACTTCCTTCAACCGTGCACCATTTCCTCTACACACCACCACACCTCAAACACAACCACTTCACTTCATACCCTTACCTCGTGATCATCGATTGAGAGGGAGAGAGCTGCAACCTGCAACCGAGAGAAAAGAAAAGAAAGGAAGCGTGCGAGCTGCGAGTCTTCGGTTCTGTCCGTAAGCTTGAGGGAAGAGACAGTGCGTGAGTTGCTACTGCACTCTCCACTTTCACTTCAACCAGCTGCAATCCATCTCCAACCGCAACACCACCACACCTCAAACACAACCACTTCACTTCATACCCTTACCTCGTGATCATCGATTGAGAGGGAGAGAGCTGCAACCTGCAACCGAGAGAAAAGAAAAGAAAGGAAGCGTGCGAGCTGCGAGTCTTCGGTTCTGTCCGTAAGCTTGAGGGAAGAGACAGTGCGTGAGTTGCTACTGCACTCTCCACTTTCACTTCAACCAGCTGCAATCCATCTCCAACCGCAACACCACCACACCTGCAACCACCGGCAACCAAGACGGCAGCCAATCATCCATCGCGTGCGTGATTTAGCCGTGAGGAGAGTAAGACAACTTCAGCTTCTGCCGCGTGAGTAAGCTTCCAGTAAAGGTAATTTCTGGACTGAAACCAATAGATTATAGGTTGATTAAGCTGTATATGGACTTGCATGTGAGGTTGGAGTGTCCGGATGAGGAAATCAAAGAAAAGGAAAATCTGATTTTTGATGAAAATAGTTTTGCCGAGGAGTTGAAACAGAAATGCAGCTTTAATCTTGTTTCTTTGGAGTAATCTGAGCTTTTAAATGTTGTTAACTAACTAAGAACTAGGTGATTAAGTCTTGCATGAAGTTAGTTAGTTCGGATTAAACTAGAAAAGAAGAGATGAAACAGAATCGGCTAGCCTGCAAGCTCATCCGAGAGTGGCCGAACAACTTGCTGGTTGATTGATGAACTTTTGGTAACAACTGAGCCGAATCTGGACTGGAAATGCTAGTTAATTAGTTCAGTAGTTGTGCATGTGAGATTTAAGTGCCAATACAAGGTTTTAACCGAAGGAAAATTTTGTTTATGACTGAGTAAATGCTGGAAAATTTACGTGACTTGCCAAGGGAGTGAAACCAGAATTTGCAGTTGTTTCTGGAATTTTTCATTAGCAAATAATGCTTGGAAATGCATGAAAAATGTTGTTTTAAGTCTTGTATGACATTCAGTAGTAAACCATTTGAATTGTGGGCAGATTTGGCCAAAATTGTTGACACATAGCTGCGGCAATGTTGTAATTAGAAAATGCAGAAGTTTGCGACTTGTTTTCCTGATTTGTTTGGGTCAGAGTTTAGTGTGAATGTAGATCATTTCTGATGTATTTTGAAACTGAAAGTTTGTTGGAAACTCATGGTATGAATTGCTGAAGTTACTAAGTTATTTAAAAGTTCCTCCTTTCAAAAACACAGCAAGCAAAAGCTGCTGCATCTCTTTGTCTTTTTGT